TCTCGACGCTGTTGTTTGGTGTTTGGCCTCCGGAGGGGCGTTCTCTGGAGGTCCGCCGGTGCAGGCCGCAGTGACAGGGCCGCTCGCCCCGCGCACCCCGCCTCTTGCCCGGTGGGTGCTGCGTCTGCTCGCGGCCTCCGCGTCCTGCAGGCCCAACATGGCGCAGGAGGTGTCGGAGTTCCTGAGTCAGAACCCGCGGGTGCCCGCCTGGGTGGAGGAGCTGCGTTGCGAGGGCGAGACTGACAAACACTGGCGCCACCGCCGGGAGTTTCTGCTCCGCAATGCCGGAGATCTGGCCCCCACCGGCGGCGCTGCTTCCGCTACCACGAATGAGGCTGCAGAGGCCGAGAGGCGGTCCCGCAATCGGCAGGTGCCGCACGTCAGTTCCTTAGCTGCAGCAGCTCATCTCCTTCTCCATGGCTTGGGCAAACCACGTCTTCCTGGGGTGCCGGTGAGTAGGAAGGTGTCCCTAACCGGCCCTCCCCATGTTTGGCCCGAGAATTCAGCGCGACTGGCCGCAGTGGGGAAGGGAAGTTACGAAGCGCGGGAATCCGCGGCACCGCTGCCCTCTAAGGGTGAGAAGGGCGCCTCTGCGAGAGGCCGACGTGACTTAAGAGTGTGGGTGTCCCTTAGTGTGTGGGACTGCGGGTGGAGGGGTTGGCGTCAAAGCTGACAACGCTATTGCATGGATCTTGGAACACTGCCTCCCAGGCCCAGGGGCATTTGTTTATGAGATTCCAGGAAACAGAAAGTTCTTGGCGGTTGGTACATGTTTTTGATTGCAACCAGGAAATGCAGTTCCTGTGGACCGTTGTTGCACACCACAAATAGTTGTTTGGATAAAACATTTCTTTAAAAAGTGATTTTGCCTTCTTTTTTCAGGTACCCTCAAAAAGTTATGGATAAAATACTTAGTATGGCTGAAGGCATCAAAGTGACAGATGCTCCAATCCATACAACAAGAGACGAACTGGTTGCCAAGGTGAAGAAAAGAGGGATATCGAGTAGCAATGGTTAGCAGATCATAGATGTGAACATACATAGGAGCTTAGAACATAAGTTTGATATAAGTAGGAATTCTTTTATAACTAATTTTTAACAAGCCAGAATTTGCAAAATGTTATTAATAAAGTTGTAATATTAAACCTAAACTATATGTCTATATTTTAGGTTCTGAACTTAATAGTTTCCTTTGACTGCTGTAGATTTTGATGTGTCCAGTGTTGTCTGATGCTGTCGATTTTGCAATATTAGAAACTGGGACCAGCAGATGATGTAATGGTTATGTCGCTGGCCTCCCCTGTATGGTGGTTTGAGTCCCTGACCTGGCAGCTTAACTCAGGCCAGGTACATGTGCCTGCGTGCCCAAGATCCCAAGAGGAGGATGGAGGAGAAGGGATTGCAGTGTGGCCATTCCTCCTGGGGGGTGATTTCTCGCTTTCTGTCTCTATATGTCTTTTTCCCGTGAACCAACAGGCCCTATAGCAAAAATCTCTCTTTAAAAAAAAAAAAATTAACGATGTTATGTAATACTGCTTTAAGAAATTAATGAAGGTATTCCATATTTTTTAAAGAAACTAGTTGTGAAATATTTTTGCCTTGTGCTTTTATTTTAATGAGAGTCTGTATTGTCTCCTGAGATATGAGGTATCCTTAGTCATATATCTTTTTTTTTTTTTCCTTTTTAGAAGGGGTAGAAGAATCATCCAAAAAACGAGCCATTGAAGGGAAGAACAATTCTGTAGTTGAGCAAGATCATGTGAAAATTTCTGCCCAAACAGAACGTGCATCAGCTCACCAGGAAAACAGTTCAGCATCAGAGAGTAGTGGGAACTCAACTCGGAGCTCTGGCATCTCAAGTCAGAGTAGCTCTGCCAATGATGGAGATCGATCTGTTTCCAGCCAAAGCGGCAGCAGCATTTCCTCTCAGGTAACAACGGCAGGATCTGGAAAAGCTTCTCAGTCAGAAGCTCCAGATAAACCTGGATCAGCAGCATTTGTTTCTTCATTGTTTCATTGTTGAAATCTAGTGTGAATAGTCACTTGGCCCAATCCACTGATTGCAGACAACAGAGTGGATCACCCAAGAAGAGTGCTTTGGAAGGCTCTTCAGTCTCAGCTTCTCAGAGCAGTTCAGAGATTGAGGTGCCCTTGTTGGGCTCCTCAGGAAGCTCAGAAGTAGAATTGCCATTATTATCTTCTAAACCTAGCTCAGAGACAGCTTCAAGTGGGTTAACATCCAAAACTAGTTCAGAGGCAAGTGTGTCATCAGTTTCTAAAATCAGTTCCTCATCAGGCACGTCCTTACTAACTCCCAAGAGCGG